TTTATGATTGATTTGTAGGAGGTGTCTGTATAGTTTACATGCAAATCATTTGCTGTTTTATAAGTTGCAAATATCTTCTAAGTCTGGCTGGTCTTTTCCATTTGTTAATAGCCTTTTTGTTTGTTTTTGTTCATTCTTCGCTGCGTTTTAAAAAAATTATCAACTTCACAAATGTTGGGAGTTTGGTGTAGGGCATCCTATGGCATCCTATTGGTGTAGGGCATACAGATTGCATCCTATTGATTTTTTAAGTCCCTTTCAATAATTTTTAATTCTATTATTTAAAATATCCATTATTCAACATTCACCTTAAGGCTAAATCAAAGTCTTTCCCTGATGTGTAAATGATTGTAAATGCTTTCCATGCACTCTAGGGGTTCTTATTACTTTTTAAGGTATACTTTATACGCCACAAAATGCACCTATTTGAAATGTACTATTCAAAGATTTTGAACAAATTGCTGAGTTGGACAACTACCATTATTATCCACTTTCAGGACATTTCCATCACCTCAAGATCTTTTGTGCTAATTTGGACACAAAATTAACTGTTCCTACCTCTAGCTTCAGGAAACAACTAATCTACTTTCTGTCTTCATAGTATAATGTGTCTACTCTGAACATTCGATAAAAATGGAATCATACAATATGTAGTCTTTCATGACTGGCTTTTTTCACTAAGCATAATGCTTTTGAGGTTCACACATGTTATAGCATAAATCAGTTGTTCCTTTTTTACTGAGGAACAGTATTCTATTGTATGAGCATACCATATTTTGTTCTTCCTTTCATGAGCTGATGGATATCTGGGTTGCTTCCATTTTTTGTCCATTATGAATAATGCCAGTATGAACATTCCTATACAAGTATTTATGTGCTTCTTAGCCATTGTATATATATATATTTTTTGATGACCTGTATTCCAATCTTTTGCCTATTTTTTAACCAGGTTATTTGTCTTCTTATTACTGGGTCTTGTGTATATTCTAGATATAAGCCCCTTATCAGATATATGATTTGAAAATATTTTCTCACAGTCTATGACCTGTCTTTTCATTTTTTTTAATAGTGATAAAAGATGAATTTTTATTTGTTTATGCATTCACTTGTAGATGGTTCTTTGGATTGTTTCTGGTTTTGAACACTCAAGCAGCTATGAATATTTATATAGAAATAATTGTGAATATCTATTTTTTCATTTGTCATGAGTTAATATTCAACAGTGGAACTGGTGGGTTGAATGGTAAGTGTATGTTTAACTTTATACTAAACCACACTGTTTACCAGAGTGGTCATACCACTGACACTTTTAAAAACAGTGTCTGAAAAATCCGGTAGTTCCATATCCTCTCCAACACATGCTAATGTGAGTGTTTTCAATTTTAGTCATTTGAAGGGGGTGTACAGCGGTATCACATTTTTTTTTCTTCTTTTTTTTTTCACTGTGGTAAAACATACATAATAGTTATCATTTAAACCATTTATAAGTGGTAACCACTCCATGGCTATCCATTCACCCGCTGTGTAACCATCACCATAGTCTATACCCAAAGCTTTTTTTAATTACTCCCAACATAAACTATGTACCCATTAAATAATAACTCCATTCCCTCAGGCCCCCAATAACCTCTATTCTGTTTTCTGTCTCTATGAATTTGCCTATTCTAGGTACCTCATATAAGTGAAATCATACAGTATTTGTCCTTCTCTGTCTGGTCTATTTCACCAAACATGTTTTCAAGGTTCATCCATGTTCTTGCATATACAAAAATTTTATTCCTTTTTATGGCTAAATTGTATTCTTTTATCTTTATAAACCACATTTTGTTTATCCAATTCTGCTGATGGACACTGGGTTCTTTCCACCTTTTAGCTATTGTGAATAATATTGCTATGAACATTGGTTTACAGACATCTTTTCTAATCCTTGCTTTCAGTTTTTTTGTTTGCTTGTTTGTTTTTTTAAATATATACCAAGGAGTGGAATTGCTAGGCCTTACGGTAATTCTATGTTTAACTTTCTGAGGAACTGCCAAACTGTTTTCCAAGGGGCTGCACCATTTTACATTCTCATTAGCAATGTAAAATGGTTCACTTTCCACTTTTGCGTGTTCATTTTTAAAATGATAGCCATCCTGCTAGGGGTGATGCAGCATCTCACTGTGATTTTAATTTGCATTCCCATAATAATTAGTAATTGTAAGCATCGTTTTATGTGCTTACTCACCAGTTGTATATCTTTTGGAGTAATGTCTAATCAAGTCTCTTGCTCATTTTTGAACTGAGTTTTTTGTTGTTGTTGAGTTTTAGGAGTTCTTCATATATTCTGGATGTTAATCCCTTATCAGATATATCATTTCCAAATGTGTCCACTCAAATAGCAGGCACTGTATTTTGCTTTCTTGATAATAGTCAATGATTCATAAAGTTCTTAATTTTAATGAAATCCAGTTTATCTACTTTTTCTATGCTGCTTGTGCTCTTGGTGTCACATTCAGAATATCCCTGCCAAATCGAATGTCATGAAGATTCTCTCCAGTGTTGTCATCTAAGAGTTTTATAGTTTACTTTAAGGAATGAAATGCAAAGTACGCCTAAAGGCTGAGGGCAAAGACCATTTCTGACAGAGCTTTTACTGGCAATCGCTTATCAGAAAAAAAAAATCACAAATTCCCTCAGTCTCCAGCTTCTCTTAACGATTTGTTAAAAATGAAATGCTCACCAACAGAAACAAGTTTGAATTCCTTCACGCAGTGAAGAAACATTCTGTAATGTGATTAACTGCCTTTTAATTAGTCAGAATCTATTTGATTTGTTTAGTCTAGATTTTGGAATATTATGGTTCTTAGAACAGGTCATTTGTGCACATCAAATATCTGTTGCCTTCTAAATACTTTGATATTGTGTGATATACCCTCACATGAGCTGTGCACCTCTTTCTTTTGTGTTCCATACTGAATATGTGGGGCTTTTTACTCAATGGGTGCACAAGAGACACTGCATGAGCTACTGACCTATCGGAGTTCAGACAAGAGTAATTTTTTAAAGTTTGATAAAACTCACCAACTTGCCATGTATCCCATGAAAACAATCCCTCCACACAGAATGTAACCATAACTATGAACATGCATTTCCTAAGAATTATAAAATTTTTCTCTCATAACCAAACCGATACATTGTGAAACCTGAGAAGGGGGATGTTTAGTTTAACACCTACCGACTTTGAGTGTTAAATCCATTAAGATGATTCTCTCTGAGTTCAGACACTAACGATAAAACCATCTGTAAAACAAAATCAGTTGCAGGTTAGCTCACACTGCAAACAGGATTACATCAGTTCTGTTTTTGTTGGTGTGAGTGATATTTCCGCTGAGATTCCCTACTCTCCTCCCCCACCAACCATCTCCTTGTTTTACTTTGTCAAAGTAAAAAGAGAGCAGTGCCAAGTCACATTTACTAATAATCTGGATTTTATGTTTAATGTCTGTTACTCTCTATTTCTATCTAAGCAAATAAGTAATAGACAAGTCATTAATTTCCCCCAAATTAAAACCAAATCTGTTCAAAATAAAACCACATTAAAGTTGGTTTACTTTTTTCTTTCTTAACTTAGTTCCTTATTTTAAAAACGCTATTTATGTATAAAGCTTCCAAAAGACAATAGTTACCAAATATTAAAAATCTCATGACATTTCTAGAATAGCTACGTTAAGATCATAAATTAAAATTTCTTGAATTTGGCTAAATTTAAGGCAAAAGAAAACACAGCTTTAACACTAGGACGTAAATATAAATACTATTTACAAGGTTGTTACTTATTGAATATTTTGCTTTAACATAAAATTCCTTTCAGGTTATTTTTAAATACAAAATTTGTCCAACAGTAAAAGGCTGTGTTTATATTGGTTAAGGAAATCTCTCCTCCCCAAAATCTCTAAGAGAATAAATGAGATATGTTAGGAGGCAGAAGTTGGTTGATTTAGAATAACATCTCCTGGTTTCCTTCTTCTTTCTCATAATCTCCCATCTCACATTTTTTCCTTACATGGCCATAAGTCCGTCCAAGGTAAGAAGAGATAAACACAGAAAAGTTAAACATCTCTCCTGGAGGAGTGAAATATTTCCATTTACCTTTTTGGCTGATGGTACATTAAGCAATGAAAATTTCAATACTAATAAATTTGAAATACTCACATTTTTAAGTAAACCAGGATAGTAATCTGCGGGTGCATACCCAAGACCTTGAGTAAAAAGATCAACTTCTTTTATATCAGATCTGAATGCCGCAAGTATACGAGATAACAGCCCCTAAAAAACATAAACAGAGAAAAAGGTCTCAAGAATGAACGTTAGTGCCCATTATGTACAATGCCTAGAATCTGAGTAATATGTAAATGGGGTAGTCTCTATGAAACGAATAATCTTAACTTGTCCAAATACCCAGTTCACTTTGATTCAGTTACATAGAAGAAATGTCAGTGATAAACTTATTAAAAATAAGTAAATTTAAACAAACATTAAAGGTAAAAGATATATAACAAATGATTAACCACATTAAGAATGTGATCTTTACTGTTTCTAAACTCAGTAAAATATTTTTATCAGAGTAGAAATGATAATTTAATACATAATAAGGAATACACCACAAATCACTAAGGAAAGGAAAGCTTATGCAATAAATGGTGTTAGGAAAATTAGTTTAAAAAATAGATTCTTATCTTATGTTACTTACCAAAATGTACTTGAATTTACTGTAAATTGAAGAGATCATTGTAAAAATAAAATAATAAGAAAGAAGAAAATACAAATACTTTTCACATGTCTGGATGGGGAAGAACTTTATAAACTAAAAATCAAGGAAGCAAATCATCATTTGTTCAAAAACAAAAAGACAATAAAAAAAAACCCTTGTGTTATTCAGAAAATAATATAAGCAAAAATAGGGAGAATATTTACAACAGATAATATGGACACCTGGAAACAAATTAGTGTGCAAAATATCACATGACAAATACTAAGAGAATAAAAAGGGGTATGAACAGATAATTCATAAAACCAAATACAAATGCCCAAGAAACACATGGATAGATGCTCATCCTCATAATCAAAAAGGGTAAATTTAAACATCAACATATCATTTTTCACTCAATGAATTAAAGATTTTTACAGACATGATTACTTAATGGTAATCTGGGTTCTCTGAAACAGGTACTCTGTGTGAGCTACTGGAAAAATACAAATGGGTGTCCATACATTGGTGCTGCTGTGAACTGCACTAAGGCCCCCACAGAGAGTGAGTGTGTGAAACACAGCCCATAACCCACCCCTACTAAGGTTGACTGCCAGCACCATGTCTGTCTGGAGGTTTGTAACCTGAAGACACCATACAGAAAACTTGAGAATGTATAGTAAAGGTTTTAAAAAGCATTCAGAACTTTGAACAGATCTGGCATACACTGAAGGAAATAAATCAAATATGAAGATGTTCACTACAGTGTTATTATTTCTCATAGTGAAAAATGTGTAACAGCAGGGGATGATTAATTTATAATACCCTCTAAACAGTGGTTCATTATAAGCTATTAAAATGCTTGTGAAGAATTTGATGGCATTTTAAATGGTTATATTATAACATTAAATGAAGATGCAAAATTGTATACAAAGAAATGATCTCATCAATATAAAAGTAATTCAAACACAGGAATGAAAAAATAATTAAAAGAAAATATCACCAAATGTTAACAGTCTCTGGGATGCTGCTATTATTGGTACATATACTTTTGTTTCTTTCTACTTCAGTACATTTTCCAATTTTCTATATGTGTATGCACTACTTTTCAATCAGGAAAAAAATCTTTACTTTTTGAAAGTGTTATTTGGAAATACTTTACATTTTAATAACAGCTTTATTGAGATATAATCATATACCACAAAATTGATCCTTCTAAAGTGTAAAACCCATTGGTTTTTAGTATACTAAAGGCGAGAGTCATTTTACCTTTTTCTTTTTTAAAGTCTTGCACTGTATTTTGTGAGTACACACTACAAGATAAAATGAATTTGTATAAATGTGTGTGAGTTCATATACAAATACCTAGGGCAGTCAGATCTAGGGAGGAGACCACATCACCTCGGTCAAGGGTTGGCCCCACTAGACTGGGACAACAAACACACCAGGAATAACAAGGGTGCACAGCACTAATCCATCATGGCTTCGTGGCATTCATTTACATTTTATCATAAACTATTTCACATATTCAAAAGATATAAAATAATATGACAAATTTTGCCCACCATGGAATTTAATGAAGCATTAGAAACACAGAGGAAGACTTCCGCGCCGTCCCTCCTCTTCCTCGCTACAGTTCACAGCGGTCCGTCTTCGGAGGTAAACTCTACCCTTGCCTGGTCTGCACCCCTCTGTGTAGATCACGCTGCCTTCTCCCTGTGAGCTCAGACTTGCCTCACACCCTCAAAACGAACTCCAGGCAACAATACTAAGCAATATAGGTTGAAACCATCTGTCCCTACCTGAGATTCTATCTATTGTTCTCAAAGTAGAATTCACAGTAAGTTAACAAAGTAACATGGAAACACTACTACTCAGTAGAAGATATTCATGATTTAAAAAAAAAAATCAGCAACATGCATATGATTTACAAAATTGAAACCACTAGAGAGGGAGAAAAACAGGAAGTTTACAGAGTTAAAGAGAACTTTTTTAAAATAAGGTACAAGATAATGAAAAGGCTCCTTGTAGAGTGAAGAAAAGTCTGGGTGGAAGCCACCTGCATATATTTGCCCTTTTTCCCTTTCAGGTCAAAGCCGTCCTTTATAAATGCAGAAAGCAAACTGGAGCTAACAAGAGCCCCTGGAGAGTTCATGTCCCAGTTATTTTCAAACACCAAGTGCAATCTGGGGGATCAAGCAGTTGCGGCAGAGCCAGGGGAGGTAAGTAACAGCCAGTGTGCGTCCTTTGAGGGGTGGGGTTTACTGGTGGATTCTGCTTAGTTCACCACAGCAAGCAGCACACGCGGCGCCCTCAGCAAGTGGAGAGTGGGACCCGACTGCCTGTGTAGGTGCAATGCAGGTGATCTGGTGAAGGAAGGCCCGGCCACATCCATGCCAGACCAGGCGGGGGAGGGAAGAGGCCCAGGTTCCTTATTTGGAAACTAAGCGACCAACGGCTCAGCCAGAAGCAGTCTGGGTTTTTCACAGAGGTCAGTCTGATGCTAGATAGGAGGGAGGGTAGCACTGCAAGTGCTTGACTTTGTCACCAGACTTCGGCATTCCACCTGACAAACACTTAGAGCTCGTACATGCACATGCTGGGAGCTGTTCTAACGATTTACAAGTAGCAACTCATTTAATCCCCACGGCCTATGGGGTAAGTTTTATTACTGAATCTGTGTCATAGGTCAGGAAACTGAGATGCAACCAAGTAAGTAACGTGCCGAAGGCTGGTTACCTGCTCTGTGGCCAGCCCTTCTAAGGAATCTCCCTGTATGCACTCGCCAAGGAAGCAGCTGGAATAGTTTAACAATGCAAATCTGACTGGTATTCAGCTTAAGACCCTCTATGGCTCCCAGTAACTCTTACATGGTGAAGCCCAAACTTCCCCCAAAGCAATGAAGCTTGGCCCCACCGGCTTTGCAGCCGTGCCTAGGGCTGACCTTCTCTCACTAGCCTGTCTGGGGCTCCCAAGGCTCTCTGACCCCTTTAGTGTGTTCTAGCCCCTCTGCCAAGAAGGCTCTTCTAGCTCATTTACCTGGTTAAGTGTTCACTTCCTGAGGGAATTCTAACAAGCATGACAGCTAGAGTTTTCTGAGTGCTTAGCATGTGTGAAGCACTGGGCTAAGTTCTGTAAGCATGGTATCTGACTTAAAATCCCACAAATTCAGTTACTGATAAAATTCAATTAAGCAAAGTTTCAATGAAGCCACCTATAAAACTGCTATCATAATTCACATAATTGACTCTTCAAAAATTACAGCCTGAAGTACTGCAGACCCAGTTGGGATGGAAAATATCGCAGTGTATGGACGATAGAAGAGAATCCGCTTTAAGGCAGTCAGTTAACGGTCAGTTAAAACTGCAGGTCTTAAGAAAAACCATGTAAAGGCTTTCCCCTGCAATCCAGTGCCGCCCAGAAGCACTCATGTCCTGGGTGTTGGACCAGTGCATGGAGGCTAGCTTCCCAAAACTGCATGAGTCACCCTGGTAGTTTGAGTCAATGAAAGTGTAAAAAAAAAAAAAAAATCTAGGATATTCAATAGATTCAGAGTGTGTGATCGAAGACTGTAAAAAATACTCCTGAGTAATGGTTAAAATAACCATAAACAGGTCCCTAGAGAGTATTTATAACGCCTGTCTTACACAAGCTGACTCTAACACTTAAGGTCTTGAAAACATGAAAATAACTTAACCGGCAGACCTGTCCTGGCCTAGATTTCTGTATGATATGGTTAGAAACTGGTTTTTTAAAAATTAGATGCTATAAAGATTAGTTCACCACCCCACCTCCCGCTCTGTTTAAAGAAAGGAAAAAGAAAAACCACCCTATACCTTAATACTCAGCACTGGCAAGGATGTGGTCAGAGGGGCGCCCATTGCTGCTGGGAGCACAGATTTGTAAAGCCTTTCTGGGAAGTCACTTGATGATATATAACCAAAGCATTAAAGTTCATATCCTTTAACCCAGTAATTTAATTTCCAAGAATATATCTTAAGGAAAGATTTAGGTTCACAGCAGCATTTCTTACAACAGTGAAAAACTAGAAGCAACCAAAGTACCCAACAGCACTGAACTGGCTGAACTCATCATGGCTTATCCAACAGCATGAATCATATTTAAAAAGATACTTAATGACATAGGAAAAGACAATGTAACATTAACTTGAAGATTCATGTGTAAAAATTGAATGTTCAATGCAATATTAACTTTATATGCAAAAAGATACTGGGAAGAAACATGACAAACAGTTAACATATATTATTTCTAGGAAATTTCTTCTTTATATTACCTGCATTTCCAAAGTTTCCACAATTACCACATTACCACATCTTACTTTTTAATCATAAAAAATATTTTGTAAAATGAAATTACATGCTTTAACTTATGTCTGTTTTTTTCCCATAGTTCCCTAATACAAGTTGCTATGGAGGGCCGCAAGAGTTCCATCCCTAGATAAAAATAAGCGTTAAGTTCTAGAAACAACATACTAAGGCCTGGCTTTGGTTGTATAACCTCGAAACAGACACCTCAAACTTTAGACCTTCAAGTCTCTCATAAAGTAAACCTAAAAATT